ATAAGTTTTAATTCTTGATTTTATACTATGATACTTTTAACCCCTTACTTATATGAATTAAAGAAAATAACTCTTATTTAAGGTTAAGTTATAATGTTTTATTAATTTTATTAATTGATTATTAATTATATTAATTGACTGTTAATATTTCATTAGTATTAGAACTAATAAATAAAATTGAACTTAAATTTCATGTTTCTTATAATAAAATACTAACAGATGTTAACAGTCAGTTAATAGAATTAACAATCAATTAACAAAATTAACAGAACGTTATAACTTAATGTTAAATGAGAGTTATTTTTTTAAATTTGTATAGGTAAAGGAGTAAAGTTGTTATAGTATAAAATGAAAAGTTAAAACTTATAAATTTATTAATATAAAAAATTAAAACTGTCATAATAAAAAATAAAAAATTAAAACTTATAAATTTGTTAATATAAAACACTAAAAATAAGTTTTTGCCCCTGCACTGGGGGCTGCCGAGCCACGGTACTCTGACCGCTGGATCTCCAGTTCTCTCTTTCCATTTTTCTTCTCCATCTTAGGCTTTGTTTCTTTTTCTTAGTCCTAACCGCTGTTCCCCTCTAAATACTTTAGAAGCAAAATCCCAATTTTCACATGTCAAAACTTACTCCTTTTTTAATTCCTTGACAATCCAATTTTAAAAAAAAATTTCCCTAGTCACCGACCCAACTATGTTGTAAACCCAAAGCCACAAACAAGACTAATCTTTTCCCTTCCCTACCATCCATAAAACTTCAACTTACTTGACAAGTGATCTTAGTATTCATCAGCTAAGTCTAGCATTTTGTTTCTCATAGAACAATACAAAGGCGAAATCATTTATATTAATTACGAAAATTACAACAACAACAATGGTCGTGATTGCGAAGAACAAACAATGCCCACAAATCCCCTTATTGCTTCACCACCTTCCACCACACTGGGAGTATTCAGGCAACCATAGACTTAGTGGATTGTTGTCTCTTTTCTAATGTGAGAAGAAAAAAAGAACGAAGAGGGTTCTTTCTGATGGCCAACGAACAGAGAGAATTAAGATAAGTTCTACCAGTATTTACCAGTTACCGGTTTATAAGTTTAATTTTTCAATTTTATTGTTACGTGGCAACAAGCAGCAAGTGTTAGAAGAAAGTGCAGGAGCGAGTGCTCCTAGCACTGCTCTTGAAATTTTTTTCTTTTCGAAGCACGGTATTTACTAAATATTTTTATTTAAATAAAAAAAGTTTTCAACTATTATTAATTTGTTATATAAAATTAATAAGTTAATTAATATAAAACTGATAAAATATGGTAACTTAAAAGAATAAGAAGAAATAACACAGTTTTAAAATTGTAAATTTGTACTTAAAATCAAACAACGATACAACAGATTTTTTGCAGCTGAATTTCATAGAATTATTATCTTACAATATAATATTTGTCTGCCCATTTATCGAGTACAAGC